CCATTTTTATTAATGGTTTGACTAATATGACATCATAACTTAACCCCACCTTGCAATTCATTTTTCCCGCCAGTTTTATAATATACGGAGATATCCAGAAATGACACAAGATCAAAGATGGCGTATAAAGTATGAAAAGTTATGCAAGAAAGTTCTTAAATATTTAAAGTTCAATAATCTATAACTTCTAAACAGTGCATGGTAAAAATTTAAAAATAGCACAGGTTGTACAACTTTTTCTTTGCTATAAAATGGCAGCAATTAAAAAAATATTAAAATTTCATCCAAAAGTACCTTAACTAGACTACGTTACAGATATAGCGGATGAGGTATATGAAGTAGTTAAGACTAAAGCATCAGTGGATGAAGCTGCTGAAACATTTCCAGATTTTCTTAGTAATAGTTTTGAAAAACCAAATAAAGAAGAAGCCACATTACAACATAAGAGCAGATTTAGTAAACTATAATTTAAATCCTACATAGTTTCCACTTTGTGAAGGAAAAGTTTGTCTTATTAAGGAAACTGCGCAAGCAGGTAGAACTACATGTATCTTCCTTCCTAGCTTTTGCCAGCACCAGGTTACCAGTTGTCGATATGCTGTATGCCGGAGTTAACTATAATAAAAAAAGAAAATTGCATGCGACAGTGTGTAAAGTTCATTTTATGTATAACTTACTCATGAATATGTCCTTGATGAGTATGAGCAGAATATTGTTGTCTGTACACATAGTAAGCTGCTTGGAGAACCCACATGTCAAGACAAACATTGTGGAATCCTGGATGCGTTGTTATGCAATTTACAGTGACTGTTGGCTCATTCATTTTAGTGACAACTTGTGATATGTCCAAGCAACAACAACACTCTCTAACAGTTGGCATGGGGATGCAATGGCCACATTGACACCTAAATCATATTTGCTATTAATCTTCATACTTAGTGTCTTACCAATTTGTGTTGCCCAGTCTGCCTTCAGGGTCAGAGTCATCATCAGAGTCATCTGTACCAGATGAACTTTCTGTAGCCTCTGGCTCATACATAAAAGGTTCAATTCCATTAGCTGAACCATCTGTCCTTTCTTCTTCACTTGCAGAACTCCCTTCATCAGAAAAATCATTGGAAGCACAACTGTCTGACATTTCATTCAGTTCCCTAATGTATGTCACGCGTGACCACGCCCACGACGGGAAGTAAATTTTACAAAATGGCTGTCAGTGGTACAGTATAGGAAATGGAGCTCTAGTAACTCGCAGTGTGGTAACTTCCTTATTTTTAAAACATTTTTTATGGTTGTGTTGTATCACAATAAACTCATATTTGTAATAAAAAATTTTTATTGCAGTTACCCTTTAAGATGCTGGTATAGTGCTAATATACCACCAAAATACAGTCCCGATTTAAATCCTTTTCAAGACGCATTTTCCTATGTAAATGGCTGCTTGAAAGAAATGAACACTTATTACCATGAACTAATACATGCCAGGTTTTGCTTAATTAATTGCCACAGCAACCTTCCCTGTAAAATTTATCAAATCCCACTGTCTCTCTCTCTTACATTAACTTCCCTTTTCTCTATTTGCAGCTCCTGCTCTGTCTGCTGTTGCTGTACAAAGTCGTGCTGCAGCTTTATCAGCAACTGCTCAATTTCAAACATTGCCTGCTCCTCCATCATTTCGTTTTTAAAGATGTCATCACTGTCAAGCTCATTGTAGTAATCATAATCATCACTGCTTATAGTGTCTAATATTGTAATGATAATAGTAATAAAAACATTTCCTTGTTGTAGCTATGAATACCATTCAATGTTATGCAAACTTACCTTCTGGTACATCTTAACAGTAGGTTTCAACAAGCTCGCGGACTTGTGGATCGTCAAAGGAGCCTTTACCATCATTTAGAAGGCGAGATATTTCCTCTGCCAACATTTAGCAGCAGGAGATAGTAGTGACTGCGGCTGTAGTTAATATCGCTAGCCATTGTTAGTTCTTCTCAAGTTGCCATGGTTGTTCCTTGATGCATAGCAACAGCAACTCTGCATATCCCATTTTTAATATCTGTGCATGATTCATGTCCCATAAATGGAAAAGCCTCTTCTAGGAGGAGTCCATATCATGCTAAGTAGCGGGAGTTCCACAGTGCTTAGGGTGTCATAGAAAAGGTAATGACTTATATAGTGTTATTATACATTATAAAAATTGTGATTATTTATTGTGGACAGTTGAAGTAAGTTGGGGCTATTCCATCCCAGAGATATTCCATCCGGGTGTTACTAAAATGTGGAATTCTGCGGAATATTCGCGGAACGTTCGTAAGGTTCCATGCACGTAAATGACAGTTCACGAAGCAGAATTTGTCTAGAATGCAGAACCTGAACCCCGCCTACCCACATAATTTTACACGCTTTGACACGTTATATCAGAAGTGAACTACTATGCCTGTGTCTGTAGAAGAGGCAGTTTCTATTCTGAATAAAAGGAAAATTAAATTCATATCTAAAGTACCACACAAACCAAAGGCTTCTCAGTGTTTCTTATTTTAGGTAGAGTTAAAACCTAAGCAAAGTGAGAAAATGCATCCCATGAAGCTGTAGTATTATATGACAACTACTTAAATTGCCTAGATAAGCCACTAGTAATGATTAGATTTATTTTAATTTAATTTTTTACATGTGTGTGTCATTAAAATGTTCATATTTTACTTTTGTAGTCCGTATTGTTATTACTTTGAGACATTAACGTATGTAGCATATATACCGTATAAGATGAAATGTTGACGGGGATTTTGTATTGGCGGATTGACGGATTTATATAAAAACGCCAAAATAAAATCCACAAGCAATAATTCCATTCATGCGTGTGACCACACCCACATTAATTTTAGTTAAAAGCATGAAAAAGTAGCTACCTAACATGGCTTTACTATGTTGCTTTAAGCCAGTCTCTAAACCAGGTGATAAAGAATACAACCTTCGAGAAAAGGTACAGTCTTTCTCTGATAATAATGTTCTCCACAAACCACAACTGCTTAAGTAAAACCCCACCTAAGGATGGGGATATAATTAAATTGTTAGAAACTGCCAATATTAAATCTGCCAATCAGCTAGCCATCACAAAACCACCATAACAAAATTTTGCTAAAAAGTCATCTTATACGGTACACCAGTCTTTGTATCACAATATACAAATATGACCATAATGGACAGAAGGTACATTATGTCGTGTGAAAAAAATCCAACGTCCTGAGCTTCATATATCATAAAATAACTTTACAGGATGCAAAAAAGTTCCTATTTAACTTTTAGGAACAATGCTTGTCTAACAGAGCAGTCACAGGATGATATTTTTCATTTAATGATGAATTTTAAAATCTGCTATAAGGTACCTTTTGTCCATTATGGTCAAAAATAGAATTTGTAATGAGTCACATTTAAATACTTTTAAAAGCATTTGTATTTCAATTCTTAATTTGAGTTTTTCAAACAGGATGTATTTGTATTTGGAATTGAAATATAGCATGAAAGCATTTCAAAATATAAGCTTAAATATAATGCTTTGATATAAACGAAAGATGCTGTTTCAGTTACAAAACTTTTGAAAGACTAATGTTCATTATAATGCACGGTAACTAAAGATTATTGATGATACACGAATCCATAATGAATAGAGACTTTGATTAACTAGATCAATTAATTAATAAAACTACTGAGTTCATAACTGTTATACTTGAGAAGGACTTATTTGTAAGTGTAATTGATACACATGTATGCAGTATTTATAACTGTATTGAAATACAAAGCTGCAAAGAGTATTTGTATTTGTATTTGTATTTGTTGCTCTTTATTCGTATATGTGACCATAATTGACAAAAGGTACCTTATGGCGGGTAGTGAAATTTGTCTTTATAGCCTTAAAAATCCAACTTCCTGAAGTCCATGTATCATAAAATTACTCCAGAGGATGAAAAAAGTTGCTATGTAACTATTAAAAACAATGGTTGTCCAACAGAGCACCCACAGGTTGAAATTTTTCATTATAATGATGAATTTGAAAATCCGCCATAAGGTACCTTTTGTCAATTATGGTCACATATGTATTTGTATTTAAATACTTTCTTGTTGTAATTGACCCAAGCGTGCTTTGTACTAAGCACATTCCTAAGTTGCCCTCATTAAAATAATTATTGTATTATTGATGATTGGAGTGCTGATGGATATCGGTGGTGGCACAGCTCTGGTGCACGGGTGTTTAATCATGGCATAAAGTCAATAATTAGAACAATAATTTATTACGTATGGTATTATCAAATTTGAGTGATAATGTTTCTTCAAAAGGAGGAAGTTTTGTAATCATTATATCATATTCATAGTACAAACCACATAATAATAATTGTTAAATGATACTACAACACCTTATAAAGCTATATAACTATGCTGCACATCTCTGAGACACTACCACTAGTACTGTGCAGCACCTGTACAGCTGGTCTTATTCAAACAAAGTTGTAGTAAGGTAGTTCTGTGGTGTCTTAATCTCCCTTCTTAAGTTTTCTTGGCTACAATTAAGGTATGTAAACATAGATTACATTTTGCTCTACATTATACATTTAATTGTAAGATATTTTATTTTTTTGAAGAAAGATATTCATAACAATTACAAAATTTTACTGTTTAGTGTGACTATGTCAATGAGTACTCATATTTCCTTCTTGTAGAGATATTGCAGGGTGTGTTGTAAGGTTCTAGGAAAGCAGAAGTATCAATAATCTCACCATGAATCCCTATTGAAGAGTTTAGGAGTCGATTTGTCTTGCAATAGTCCTGAAATCGATCAACAGTATTTCAGTAACTATTGCTACTTATCTGCAAAAAAGCATGTGTGTGGTCAGCAAAGCTGTACTACTTTAAGTCCAACTCAATGGCTTCCTCATAGTGAAATAAGCAGTACTGTGTGCGATGTTAGACATAAAGGAGGAAGACCAAAGAAGAAGTCATCAAGTGGTCGTCCATCAGCTATCAGTACACACATGAAATCAGTTGCCTTACCAATTCCCTCATTCACTCTTGCTCAATTGGTAGACAACAACTACAAAGATAATGTAATGTGTAGTTCTTGTAAGGAAGCTGTTCAAAAACCTGTAGAGGTTCTACCATCCAAATGCCTGTACTGTTGTAACTGTGCTCTTTCCCTCGCTTTCTCTTCTTCCTTCACCTGCTCTAGCTGCTCATGTATTCATGAGTCAATTGACAGTACCTTCACAAAACCTTCAAGCATTGTGGAGAAGATGATCAATGGCTTGTATGTGAGGTGTAACATCTGTGGAATAAATGTAAAAGTTGAATTGCTTGAAGCTGATTGCCACACTCACAAGAAAAGTCACAAAAAGGAGCTGAATAAAGCTATGTCTGAATTACTTCCCCAATCTCACCAGATAATCACTGTATCAACAGGAGGAAGAGTAAGTGCATATGTAGATAGCATTGATTTTTACCTAATCTATACTTTTAGCCAATTAGTTTAACTAAAGTCTCATCACCTTCAGTCCCATCTGATAAGGCTTCACAACGTACTTTGCGTCGGCGAAGTAATGAGAGTTGTCGAAGCTAAGAGAGGACCTTACTGGGGGTGAGAGCCAGCACCAGATTGCTGATGAAATCAGAATGATCTCTAAAGAAGAGAGAGAGGAGATAGTGAGAGGCTTTACAATTGATATATCTCCAGAGCAATGTTTAGTCATGCAGGCTGATTTATGCCTGCCATGGAATAAACTGAGACTCATGAGAAGGTTAGTACATGCATGTATATGCAGAGTACATGTATTGTTTAATTATGTGGTGGTACATGTTACCAATGACTTACTCTTTCTTTTTATATGGATGAAAGCATGGAGTATCAACATGAGTAGTGAAAAGAAACAGAGGGAAGCTATGAAGAAGGATTTGGAAGCAGTGAAGATTACGGCAGAGTCAGTACCCTTTTCTTTTTTAACACGGCATGATTGTCAGGAGATTCATCTTGCTCCACTTGCCTGTGTGACTGATTTTGCTAGTGTAGTGTTTCATCTACTTGAGGAAAAGAATAGGTAAACTTCCTGCTATACACACACATGTGTATTGTGAAAAATATTAATAGATTAGGACAACTGACATGGCATGATGGAGTAATACCCCCTAACGAAATATGAATTAAGTTAGGGGGCGACACGGGGGGATCATCTGTAAAGATGTCCTTCCAAATTGTCAATACAGATAAACCAAACTCCATCTCTAATAGTTGTCTTTTCTCTTATTGAAGCTCCCAACAACGTTGTAAATCTGCGTATTGCCCTGGAGCAGTACAGAGATGTC